TCAGCCAGGAGGGGAAAAGAAGCCTCCTTTCCCCTCCTGCCGAGCGCAGGGGCTTCTCTGGCCGGCGATCGGCCAGGAGGAGAAAGGAAGGCTCCTTTCCCCTCCTGCAAAACGCCCGCCGACTTTTCCCCCCAGCTGACTGGCGGGAGATTCGGAAGAAGCCCCTCCTGTCAGCTGGGGGAAATGGAGCCTATGGGGAAAAATCGCAAAGCGATTTTTCCCCATAGGAAACAACGTTATGCGATCGCAAAAGCGATCGCAAAATCTTCTTCGTTAAGTGAATTCCTCGTTAAACGGGGCACCCGTTAAGCGAGGCACCACTGTATATAGTTAGACTGTAAGGTGGGGATAGAATCTGCAAGCTTCACTCTGCCACTGGGAGCATTTCTCAGCAAACTTACTCAAAACACTGCCACCAGTGGAAAGACAGGTGATTATTTTTACTAACCCCCCTCACTTGACCCCTCCAGCATCACTTCCCCCAGTTTCAGTGAGTCCCACAACAATTGGAGCAGATTTGCAGAAGAAACAGGGGGATTAAAAGAGAAAGGAAGACACTGACAGAGATCACCAATTTTCCGGGTTCAGCCAGTGTAAAATTTCCACTAAATCAAAATGCTTCTGTTGGCAGAAGCAGCCCTTTTCTGGCTCTGACTTAAGCATCTATGATTATTGATTTTGCCTGACACAATATTCAGGACACTATTTAGCCATTTAAAAAGATAGGGTTTTGAGAGAGGGGTCAAGGAGTCCATATATGTGCATATAAAAAAATCACTGACCCAACAGGGTGGAGGCCTTAAACACAATCTGTCTCCTATTTAACATGCTGCCCTTTCATCCACTTCAGAAAGATCAGGACCACACACATCAGAAAAACTACTGTTGAGAACCCATGACAATGGGTCAAGAAGGACTGCAGACGTGGGATTTTCACTCACCTGCCCACCCCCTTTTCCCATCTAACAAGCCTATTCAGACCAAGGGGCAGTGAAACCAACATGGAGGATATATCGGGGGTCCCCTACCAATTCTCCTCAGACTGAAGAAGCTACTGATATGAGCAGCGAAACATTTCAACATAATAAAGAAGTCCAGTTGCCGTGGCTCAACTTCCAGATAACCTCACGGGGATGACTGATAATCTTCACAAATACATTTAAAATTATTGCTACAATCCACATAAAATATACAAAGATTCTAAGCAAAATCCTTGTCAACCGTTAATTGCAATTGCTCCAAGGTAAGAAATCACTGTAGACTTTATCAGGTGCATCCCAAGTTGTATAACGCAGCATGCAAATAAGAACATCAACAGTGTACAGTGGTGCCCCGCTTGATGACAATAGTCCATTCCAGGAAAATCGCTGTTAAGCAAAATCGTCAAGCGAAAAAAAAACCCCATTGGAATGCATTGAAAACCGGTTAATGCGTTCCAATGGGGGAAATACTTGCTCGTGCAGTGAAGATCTTCCATAGGACGGCCATTTTGTGATCCCTGTCTTGTGAAAATAGCTCCGGAAAACAGCAGGGAGCTGTTTTGTGAACTGCCGATCAGCTGTTTTTAATTGTCGTCTTGTGAACAATCGGTTTGCGAAACAGGGACCTAATCATCGCAAAGTGAAAAAACCCATAGGACCCATCGTTTTGCGATCACTGCAAAAACACTCATCGTCAAGCAATTTCATTGTCAAGCGGGGTTGTCGTCAAGCGGAACACCACTGTATCTTACTTTCCAGGGAATTAAGCATGAGATAGATAATCATTAAACTGGATGGAATACATTATTACTACATATTGTCTGCAAGGCACACTTAAACTAAATGCAAATATATTGGTTCACTACCTACAAGGCACACATCTTCCCCAGCACAAGATTTCCAGGAATGTTTCAAGTGTAATCTGAAGCAGCTAGCAACTGGACAGAGCAGCACTGTCTCTGCTTTATGACAGAACAGCTTGGGCCCTGGATACCTGAAGGCCCGCCTCCTTCCATATGAACCTACCCGGCAGTTAAGATCTAGCCACGGGGCCCTTTTGAAAGAGCCGTCCCTTAAGGAGGTAAGAGGGACGGCTTGTAGACAAAGGGCCTTTTCGGCAGCTGCCCCCAGACTATGGAATGCCCTCCGTACTGAGATTCGTCTGGCGTCGACGCTGATGACATTTCGGCACCAGGTCCAAACCTTCCTGTTCCCGAAGGCTTTTAATTGAAATAATATTAGCTGTGGGTCTGATGGCAATTTTAATTCTATTTTAATTGTATTTTAATTATTTTATCTTTTACTGTATTGAATTTTAATTATTGTAAGCCACCCAGAGACCTCTGGGTAGTGTGGGCGGCATATAAATTGAATAAAAAAAAAATCACACCAGGTTCTTAAATTCTAATCCAGTTGAGAACAGAAACTAAGAACTCTTCTTGAACTGAGGTTGCTTTGTTTCTTGTTTTCAGCATTTTTATTCCTCTGCAGCTCCCAAAGTTGATAGAATAAAAGTGATAACCAAAATTCTACTGGGTTTGTGAAGCATAAACCCAAAACTGCATGTATGATTTTTCTAGTTGCCTGAGTATTAGGTCTCTGGACTGCTGGTCAAAATCACTCTGGATTGCTTCAGATGTAAATAAAGACGGCAGACAACCTAAGAATTGCTAAAACTGTTGTGCAAATTCCCTACATATTATACAATGGACTTCTAGTCAATGAAAATACAAGTGGAAGGTACTGCCATTTGGAGTGTTTTTATTAAACAAACACACAGGAATACAGTGCTAAGAGCAGGTGAACAGGAAAACCTGGTGTTTTAATTCACTGTCAACATGACAAAACAATGTATGCATTTATTAAAAGACATCTCTCATTGGCAGATATCAATATACACAAAGAGAAAGAAAAAAGAATTACCACCTCAATTTCTCTAGCTGTTATGATTCAGTTAAGCAAGGTTATTTAATACTTGGCTTAATTTGGTACATTAACACCAATCCTTTGCAAGTAACTATTCCATGCTGCCTTCCTATATGCCTCTGCTTCCTCCAGGCGACTGGATGCAGACAAGATACCACGTCCTACAATTATGATATCAGATTTTCTTTTACCAATAACATCTTGTGGACTCAGGTACTTCTGCCCCAGGTTATCACCTGCAAGACACAAGTGAACAAACCATCTATTACTATGGCTTAGTCTGCAGCAATTTCCGGTTGAAGGATTACAGCAACCTCCTAAACGCAGTCTCCATAGCAGCAGCAGCAGCCACCACTACCTCTATACTGTTAAAGGCGTAAGGACATATGCACAGAAAACAAGCATACCTCTGAAGAATCTCTAAACTGATTGCAAAAGATGCTCTTCTCACTCATTAGACAAAGGGTGTGAACACATGTCTGAGCTCTCCTAGGAATGGATCTTAGGACTGAAACACTCAGTTTCATGCCAACAGGAGCCCACAGAGCACTTAGATTGCAATTCCATTGTAGTTGGTATCAAAAACTAGAAATACTCCTGAGCTTACTTCTCAATTATATTAATTGCTCTAATACAAATACAGTGGTACCCCGCATAGCGACGATAATCCGTGCAGCAAAAATCGTTGCTATACGGATTTGTCACTATGCTGAACAAAGAAGCCCATAGGAATGCATTAAAACACGTTTAACGCGTTCCTATGGGCAAAAAACTCACAGTTCTGTGAAAATCCTCCATGTGGCTGCCATTTTCGCTGCCCGGTAAGCGAGGAATTTAGGCAAAAACACAGTGGGCGGCCATTTTATTTAGCCGGTGGCCATTTTGGAAACGCCGATCAGCTGTTAAAAAACATCGCTATGCGAAAATCAGTAAGTGATCATCGCAAAGCAATGTTTTACCATTAGAAACATCGCAATGCGATTGCTTTTGCGATCGCAAAAACACATCGCTACGCGGATTCGTCGTTAAACGAATCGCTCGTTATGCGAGGCACCACTGTATATTTTGTACCATCAGTTTGAGTTCCAAAAAAAGTCACTTATATAGAATATACTCACCTCCAGTCTGCATCTGAACCCCCGGAGTCAAATGAAGAAATTCAGGTTTTTCAACTATTCTGGAGCCAGAGATAAATCCGAAAACAAAATCTGAGTGTTCTTCAGCCATCTTAACCTATGCAGAAGCAATATACAAAGAACAATCACACCTTACAGAAAGAAAACACTTTATGTGCTGTGCTGTCTAGAATGGTGAATAAATACGAAACACATATGTATCGAACATGCAGATACATGCAGACATCAAGACAAAAGAGTCAAACAGAATATCAAAATATTTCATTGCCTTTGATACAGAAAATACTATTTCAGAAATGGCATACTCCTCACAAATAGACTTATTCACAACTCTTCGGACATTCTTTGCCTCAGGTCTTTCAATGATTATATATGCCTACCCCTCCCAATTTCTACTAACACCTTCCCAGGTCTGCCTGAAGAACACTGGCTTTCACTTTTCAGTAGTGCAAGTTCCCAATTGCTTCCTTTCAAACTTGTTCTTCCTCCATCATAACTGATAGCTGCATCTCAACTGTTAGTTGATCCATTCTTTCGGTTGGTTTGTGGAACAAGTGGATGGGTTCAGGGCTGGAGCTACCATTAGGCGACTGCCTAGAGTACAGACCTGAGAGGGCACAAAAATGACTTCATGAGAGAAAACGTCGCCATTTAAAAAACCATAAGTCCTGGAGAGAACTTGAATTGCACTTATATAAAGGAAAAACAGTTGATGATATTAACCAGCAGAAAATCAGGCAAGAACAACAATATTGGCAATAAATCTTAGAATGCTTGATTGCTTTGGTCAGACTTCTTGGCATGCAATACTGGTCATTCTGTGGTAGTACTGAAAAGTTGTATAGTGCTAAGAATGGGATTTTTTTGAAGTTTGTAGAATACTTAGCCCTTTTTGATCCCATCATGAATGAAAGTTTGCGCAGAGTTAAAAATGAAGAAATGGTTCACTACTTAGGAAAAGATATCCAAAATGAACTTACACAATTTCTAGCAGGTGCTATAAAGCAGAAGATTTTAGCAGATATAAAGTCAGCCAAATACTATTTAGTTATTCTGGATTGCACACCTGATGTTAGTCATACTGAACAAATGACAATGATTGTACATTTTGTCAATGTGATCAAACCATCAGATACTGAGATATCTAAATGTGAGAAAATAACATTTCTTGGGATTTGTTCCCCTAAGAGACACTACAGGTGTCTTTATGGCAGAAACTCTTCTTGAGCAAATGGGATTGCCAACTGAGAATCTGTGTGTTCAAGGTTATGATAATAGGAGTAACATGAAAGGCAAAGAAAATGGCGTACAAAAGGGAGTCCTAAACATGAATCCATGTGCCTTTTTGTGCCCTGCAATGCGCACTCTTTAAACTTGGTAGTCAATTATGCTGCTAAATGTTATCTGGAAGCAACAAGTTTCTTCAGTTTGATTCAACAGATCTATAATTACAGTACTTCTCTGCATCAACTCAGTGTTGGGAAATTCTAACTAGCCATGTATCAGGCATAACTGTTAAGCCGAGTCAAACGAGATGGGAAAATCAGATTGATGCTTTAAAACCCGAGATATCATCTTGGTAGTATATATGATGCTTTAATAGAGATATTTGATGACACAAGCCTAAAGAATTTATCTGGAAATACTTCTCGAATTGAAGCTCAGACCCTTGCTGATGCAATTTGAAAGTTCAAATTTGTGGTATCCCTTGTTACATGGTACAACATTCTTTAAATTAGCTGTTACAAAATAAGGAGAATGATTTAAATTCAGCTACAAGCCAATTGAAAGTGATGAAGAATTACTTCGTGGGCTATAGATGCGATGCAGATTTTCAACAAGTTTGATGGATGCTACTGAGATTACAAAGGAGATAAAATACTGTACTACCAAACTTTGAGACAGAGTAAGTTAGAAAAAGAGAACAAAAAAGCAGTTTGAGTATGAAGCACAAGATGAGGTACCACAAGATCCAAAGCAGAAATTCAAAATAAGTTTCTATTATGCTGTCTTAGACATGGCCATACAATCTGTTGGAGATTCCAACAGCTACAATAATATAATTCCTTGTTTGGCTTCCTGTATGACAGCTACAAGATCAACAAAAAATATATACTGAAGATGCATTTAAGGCCTGCAAGAATTTGGAAAAATCATTGACGCACAATGGAAACAAAGATATTGATGCTGAAGATCTATGCTGTGAACTTATAGCAATAGCTTGAAGACTTCCAAAGTCTATGCCACCACAAGGAGTATCTCTCTTCATAGTGCAACAAAGCCCCTGGATAGTGTGCCTAATGTTTCTGTGGCTCTAAGGATCCTTCTCACACTTCCAGTGTCAGTGGCTAGTGGTGAACGCAGTTTCTCAAAGCTTAAGCTTATAAAAACATATTTACGCTCAACAATGCTGCAAAGTAGACTAGTTGGTTTGGCAACTGTATCAATTGAACATGCCAAAGAATCAGCCATTGACCTGAAGAAATAAGTGACAAAATTTGCAAAAGAAAAGGCACACAAAATGAGATTTCGATGTGGCAAAAATAGAAATATTTAATAGACATTACAGTTAGGATTATTCAAAATGATTTGCGTGCTAAAACTGTTTTGTATTTGAGAAAGAAAATTGAAGACTGTTCTATTACTTGTTCTGTTTTTTAAAATAAAAATTCCACAATTTCAACTTTTGCACTTTCTGTTTTTGAATGTTGGTAGGGGTGCATGCAAGTAGTTAGTCTTGCCTAGGGCACAAAAAAGCCTGGCACATGCCCTGGATGGGTTCCTCATTCCAAAATTTCTCTCTCATATACAAACATACAGTTCCACTTCCAAACTACCTATGCTATCTTATGCAATATCAGTCCTGGCTATATCCAGTTGGATTAAAGAGGGAAAGGACATTTAAAGTTTCAAGACAGATTTTCAGAAGAGTTGTTTCTCCTTGCTGGACAGTAGGAAAAGTGTCTTCCAGCCTTGTTCAGATAGAAGCGCCAACTTACTGCTGCTTTAGTATAGTCACCAGTCGCCAGAGACCCTTCGGAGCTCATCTCACCAATCAAGAGGCATCCTCGTTGCAAATGGTGTCCTACAGCTTTCAATCCTTTAATGACTCCTGGACCAGGAACTGCATGGGCATTAATGATATCTGACCAGGATGCTATTTTGAAAATGCCACCTGCAAGGGTGAACAGACACATTATCAACTAAGCATAGTCTTCCAAGTAAGATAGTTAAACTAATAGTGATGAAATGTATATTATGGAAAACAATGTAAAACACATTATGAGGAAAATGTGCTTGCTAGTGCGTATTTTTTTAAAGGTGTACAAATATGTGCACATTTGAATACAGACTGGCAAACTGATGTGGAATGGAGAGAAGCAGAATGGAGAAACCAGGAGCAACTGAAATTGAAATATATGAAAAACTGTGAAATACTAGATTTATACACTAGAATTGCAACAGCTTTTGAAAAAGTGTGAAAGCAAAGAATATGTTCTACTTTTTATTGACTGAGAGTGCAAAATTACAACGAATTGCATTAAAATGTGAACTTGCTTAATTTCTACCCCTTAGGATCTGAAAAACAGTGGTGCCCCGCATAGCGACGTTAATCCGTTCCAGGATTAACGTCGCTATACGGAAACATCACTGAACGGAACAAAAAACCCCATAGGAACGAATTAAACCCTGTTTAATTCGTTCCTATGGGGCAAAAACTCACCGTTCAGCGAAGATCCTCCATAGGGCTGCCATTTTCGCCGCCTCGGTAAGCGAGGCGCGAAACGGGCGGCCATTTTGGAACCGCCGATCAGCTGGGTGGCGGGCTCTTGGGAAGGAGTGCGGGGACCTCCTCCAC